TCCCGTTTCGAACCCCACACCGGTACCATCCTCAACCCAATCCCGATCTTGATTTCCCCCCGATCCCGATTCGCTCCCGCCTCGACCCCGCCTCGATCCCATTCCGATCCCACCCCAATCCCAACTCGACCCTACCCTGATCCTTTCTCGATCCTATCTCGGTCCCGACCACATCCCACATCCCTTTCATTTCAATCTCAACCCTGATCCCATCCCAATTTTGATTTGCTCCCACCTCGTCCCTACCACGATCCCATCTCGATCCCACCCCGACCCCAACCTGATCCCACCCTGATCCCATCTCGATCCTATCTCGACCCCAACCTGATCCCACATCCTTCCCAGACCAATCTCAACCCTGATCCCATCCCACTTCCGAATTGCACCCACCTCGACCCCACATCGACCCCACCTCGATCCCATCCTGATCCCATCCCGATCCCGTTTCGAACCCCACATCGGTAGCATCCTCCCCCCAATCCTGATCTTGATCTCCCCCCCGATCCCGATTCGACCCCACCTCGATCACAGTCCGATCCCACCCTGATCCCAACCCGATCCTTCCCTGAATTTTTCTCGATCCTATCTCGGTCCCAACCACATCCCACATCCTTTTCATTCCGATCTCAACCCTGATTCCATCCCAATTTCGAATTGCGCCCACCTTGACCCTACCACGATCCCATCCCGATCCCACACCCCAACCCGATCCCACCCTGTTCCCATCTCAATCCTATCTCGACCCCAACCCGATCCCACATCCTTCCTAGTCCGATCTCAACCCTGATCCCACCCCACTTCCGAATTGCACCCACCTCGACCCCACCTCGACCCCACCTCGACCCCACCTCGACCCCATCCCGATCCCATTCCGACCTCACCCAATCCTCGCCCGATCTCTAGCCGATCCCATCCTGTTCGTCCCTCATCTCCCACCACCCTAATCTCTCACCACCGTGCCGCCCAACCAACCACTCGTCGGCCTGCCACACATTTGTGCACCTCTCCTCGTCTACCCGCCGATCCTTCCATCTACCCGCCGGTCCTTTCATCGACCCACTCACTCATCCTTACCCTCGGTTAGACACCTATCCTCTCAATCGAGCTACTTCTTCCTTCATTATTTGTACCACTCACCTATTCTTAGTCAGACATTCCCACCTACAGCAAGTGAATTGGTCTATACCTCTACTGACCCTCTCTTCTCCCTAGCCCTCCTCCCCCCCCTCCCCCCCTCCCTCACCCTCGCCCCCCACACAAGGAATTGGCAGACTTCTTAGCAAGAATCGAAGGAGACAGGTTCGGGTTTATTAAAAGAGGAAAAGATGGTTGGTCCAACGCAAACCACGATCCCAACAGACCAGGAGTCACCGGAGAAGATCGTCAATGTTATTGACAATGAAGCCCTCAAATTCCAAATCGAGAAGATGAAAGTTCATGGAATTGAATCTATCGAAAAACAGATAGTGGAGGGAAAAGAAGAAGTGGTGGTTATCTGGAAATACCCGGAAGAGAAGATCGCGAGCTGAATGAGTTGCATGAAAAACATGGAGTGGTGTTCAACTTTGCACGCCACGGTGCAGATATCCAGCCAGCCGAAAAAAGAAAATGGGTAATCGAAACGATTAGGAAGGAACCAAAATGCAAACAGATTGGAGACACCTTCTCACTGCAGAACTTGGGTCGGAACAATATCATGGTGCTCTTCATCCATGAGGACCATGCGAGGATTGCAGCAGAAATGCAATCCAGAAATTGCCACGGCTGAGTATGCACAATTACAAGGTGGAAAAAACTCTCAGCCCAAAGACAGACCCCAGGATTTGCAGTCTCCTACAAACAAACATTAATGAAGGAGAACTTCTCGGTTCAGTTTGACAACATACAGTCGGGCTTCCACGGTTTGCTGGTGGACAGGCTCGAAAGACAGTATACAACAAACGAAGTCCTGAAGTGGATTCTACCAACGCCAGATTTCCTGGCGCCTCACTGTGGGACAATGACAACAATCTTGGACGTGCAAACGGATGATCCTCCAGTTTTCCCACCGGTCTGAAAATTCCAGATCGAAAACAGGATGATTGAAGTAAGGATATCTACGAGAACCTCGCCGATCTGCTTTAGATGTAGAAAGCGAGGCCACCTGGGTACCGATCCGAGTTGTCCCAAGTTCCCGAAGCAAGCTAAAGAAAGGAAGCTTCTACCGAACATGCTGGTAGAAGTGGAAGATGCAGCTGTTATTTGGTTTGTGGCCGACCCGTGTTATGACGGATGGGTCTTCGACGATAACCTTGATGAGCCCGACTGGGTATGGCACTTAGCAGACCAGACTCCATCCACCAAAAAAACGGACATTTTCCCCCGGGCAGATAGCAAATGGCAAAAGAAAGCGTCGGGGAAAGTTAAGGGCAATCCGACGAAGATCAACACTAGTCCTATTACAGATTCACGGGTGATTAGGGAGGAAAAAGCAAGGGATGATTTGTTGTGGGATCTTGACACAATAAGGGAGCAGATCGAACAAGAGTACAACAAGGAACCAGGCCCTTTCAGAGAAGCATTGAAACAAGCCAAACAGCAAACATACAAGAGAAGGGACAAATCACATGCAAACGCCAGCTACAAGGTGATGACGGGCCGTCAGAGAAAGAATCGGGACCAAAGAGGAGGGCAGGGGGGTCAGCAGGAGGGAAGGAAACGAGAACGACAAAAACTGGGGTTGAAGTGGAAGGAATGGAGGTGGATTTGACGGGAGGCCAGGCGGACAAGGAATCTGATGGGAAGGACACTGCACCAGATGCTGCCTCCACAGAAGACGAGGACTGTTCCACGCAGTCTCTGGCATGGCTCAGAGATTATGTGGAAAGGCCAAAAAGGGAAAGGGAACATGCGTTTGATGTCCGGGTAGCCTGCTTGAAACACGCAGAGAGATCTCAGGTGAACGGAAAAAAAGATGCAACAGCGGGAAGTAACAGCTCCTCTAACCAGATGAAATCCTCAAAAAGGTTCTTGTAAACTGCCAAAACCGGATCAAGGAGGAGCGTACTACTACAGACTATGGTAGCCCGATGGTAGCCCGATGTCATTTAGACGAAAACCGGATCGAGGAGGAGCGTACTACTACAGACTGGGTGATTGACTCATGGACATGGACATTCTTGTAAACTGCCAATGACGGATTTGAAGCAGTGATAACACGGTTTAACAATGGTCTATTCATTCTTTGTATCAAGAAAATGCAAAGAATTCTCTATCAAACAGACCGCCCTCAACAACATAAAGAAGAAAATGGAATACCGCCCTGCCTCGGACGTTCTAGTGCTCAAAGACACTCGTCTCCAGAGGTGTTTTGGAAAGACCTCTCTCATGATTTGATGGGTGAAATATTGCGTGGTAGTCTGGGAGGAAAGGATCTTGGGAGAAATCCGAAGGGCCAAAGGACAGCATCATTACAAGAAAGGAGCAGACTGTAGTAGTACGCTCCACCTCCTCCTCAACCTCTTCCTCCTCTTCCACCTTCATTCATACCGCTTCCTCCTCTTCCTCCTCCTCATTTCATACCACTACCTCCTCCTCGTCCTCCTCCTCCTCCTCTTCCTCCGACAATAATCATCGCTGTGAGCAAGAAGTGGTGTGCTGCGCTCTCCAATGTGGTTCGCGCATA